CGGACACTCGGACTGTATCCGTCACCAACCCCGGACACTCAGGCCGTGTCCAGCACTGACCCCTCCCCCCATGGCCTCACCTTGACCTTCTCGGCCCAGGGGTTGAGGCGTTTCCAGAGCAGCCACCAGCCGGACAAGGAGTCGCCGTAGTTGCACAGGTCGGTCTCGTCCTGGCTGCCCACGTCGATGGCGATGACCGTCCGGGCGCCCAGGCCGCGGGCGATGTCGGCTGTGGGGTGGACACACCGAGGGGTCAGCGCGGGGAGGGGACACTGAGGGACACGGGGAGGGGACACGGGGAGGGGAGGGCACGGGAACGGGGGGGGGACGCCATGAGGGGACATCAGGGCAGAAATGAGATGGTCCTGAGGGACATCAAGGGATGGTGGAGATGGTGAAGATGAGGATGATGAAGGAAGGTCATTCCCACAAAGAAAGGGATGGAAACGGTCCTGAGGGACATCAAGAAGTGATGGAGATGGTGATGATGATGAGGATGATGAAGGAAGATCATTCCTATAAAGAAAGGGATGGAGATGGTCCTGGAGAACATCAAGAGATGATGATGGTGATGATGAGGATGATGATGGAGGAAGGTCATTCCCACAAAGAAAGGGATGGAAACGGTCCTGAGGGACATCAAGAAGTGATGGAGATGGTGATGATGATGATGGAGAATGATGGAAGAAGGTCCGTTCCACAGGACAGAGAATGGACAGGATCCTGGAGGACATCAGGGGATGGTGGAGATGGTGAAGATGAGGATGATGATGGAGGAAGGTCAGTTCCACAGGACAGAGGACGGACGGGATCCTGGAGGACATCAAGAGATGATGATGGTGATGAAGATGATGATGATGGTGGCGGAAGAAGGTCAGTTCCACGGGGAAGAGTAGAGATGATCTGGAGAACATCAAGAGATGATGATGATGATGGTGATGATGGTGATGATGATGAGGATAATGATAAGGATGATGGTGAAGATGATGATGATGATGATGATGATGATGATGGTGGAAGGTCAGTTCCACAGGGAAGAGCACAGAGATGATCTGGAGAACATCAAGAGATGATGATGATGATGATGATGGTGATGGTGGAAGGTCAGTTCCACGGGGAAGAGTAGAGATGATCTGGAGAACATCAAGAGATGATGATGATGATGGTGATGGTCATCATGGTGATGGTGGTGATGAGGATGATGGTTAAGATGATGATGAAGATGATGGAGAAAAAGGGACACTGAGAAAGGAGGAGGATGAAGGGTGAGGGGACACAGGGAGGGGACACCGGAGGGGACACCAAGAGGTGACACCGGGAGGTCAAAGATGCCCCAGAGGGTGCCCGGCACCGAGGACATCAAGAGATGATGGAAGAGGCACAAAGATGGATCCTGCACGTGGAAAACCCTGGAATGTTCTGGAAAACCCTGGAATGTCCTGGAAAACCCTGGAATGTCCTGGAACACCCCGGAATGTTCTGGAAAGCTCCATGGTAAGGAAGAGGCATCAAGAGATGATGGAAAATGGACACATCCTGACCCATGGAATGTTCTAGAAAACCCTGGAATGTTCTGGAAAACGGCCCAGCATGGAAAGGGCATCAAGAGATGATCCATGAAGGATAAAAGAATGGATCCCAACCGTGAAGGACCATGGAATGTTCTGGAAAACCTCCGGGCATGGAAAATACACCAGGAAATGATCCATGAGGGATTCAAGAGGGAGAGACAGAAGGATCCCAAACACAAAAAAATTATGGAATGTTCTGGAAAACCACTCGACATGGAAAGGGCATCAAGAGATGATGGAAGAGGGATGGATCCTGACCATGAGAAACCATGGAATGTTCTGGAAAACCACCCAGCATGGAAAGGGCATCAAGAGATGACCCATGAAGGATAAAAGGATGGATCCCAACCATGAAGGACCATGGAATGTTCTGGAAAACCACTCGACATGGAAAATACACCAGGAGATGATCCATGATGGATAAAAGAAAGATGGATCCTGACCATGCAAATCCATGGAATGTTCCGGAAATCCGCCAGGCATGGAAAATACACCAGGAGATGATGGAAGAGGGATGGATGCTGACCATGAGAA